GGTTGGCTCAGAGACTCGACAGAGCTAGCTCGACGACGGCCATGGTGGCTCGACGGCGACGCATGGAGGTGCTCTGGCCGTCTCTGACCGTGACAAGCTCGGGGGAGCACGGCTACGGTTCAAGGGTGACCTAGCGGAGTTCTAGGGTTTGGATTGGGGCTTGTGAGGGCGTTAGTGAGGCACAACCACAGGCATGGCAGCACGGCAGCATGAGCGCAATGGTGGCACGACGACGTTTCGCTCCGACGAGGCCAACATTGGCCTTAGGCTCTTGCCTCGAGCTAGACCTAGCTCTAACCTAACCCTAACGTCTAGAAGCGCGCGAGGAAGAAAACCGGGCATGCACAACCATGGCGGCGTGCATGGCGGCAGCGCTCTCATCGATGGTGTGATGACGGCGATGGCCCGTAGGCCTTTACCTTGGTCGGGTTAAGGCAATGGGTGGTCGGCGAGGTAGAGGAGGTGATGGCCGAAGCGGTGCATGAGATGCGACGGACGGTGGTGCGATGGTGGCAGCGAACGAGCTCGGCGGAGGTGCGGCGGTGATGGTGCGGCGCTACGGTTCGCTCGGGCATGGCAAGGGCGAGAGAGAGGCGAGGTAGAGCGAGTGAGGAGGAAGGGCGCGTGAGTGATAGTGGAGAGTGAGCGCCCAACCTCTTCTTCTCTTCAGCACGTGGACGGGGGACACGGTGGATACGTGTGGTTAGGTGAGCGGCGACATGTGGTGCGCGGCACCTGGCGTGGTCGGCCATGATGTCGGCTGAGATTTTGAACCGGCAAGCTCCATTCAGTCGACTGAAACTCGATTTTCTAACCTCCCAATCTCCCAACCCGTAGTGAATCAGTGAAAACTTCATTAATACAAAGTGTAGAGCTACATGAGTACTACAAGATTGATTAAAGGAGTTTTCTCTAAATCGACATGGTTTTCAAACTACAAAGCTCTAAAGTGGGCTACATTGAAACTGAAATCAGCTTGTGACTTAGCAAATTTTTCTAAGTTTGAAAACAACATTTCATTGCTACTTGTGGGCTCTATTTGACCATGCTAGGCACTGAATTAGCTCATGACCCTTAAATAAAGTTTGTTACCCATGACAAGAACTACAATTTTTATTTAGGTCACACAGTCATGCAAACACTATAAGCTACTGTTCAACTTTAGTCAAACTAGCATAATGAAAATGGTATTTCAAAGTAAACCAACACTTAGAAGCAAAATTGGCTTAAGTCATGAATATAAACATTGTTTCATTTATCATTCTAGGTGTGTTTAAGGTATTTTCATGACCTCACAACCATTTTATACATTGGTCATACATGATTACAAGCATAAGCATATATATAAAATCAACATTTCATGTGATAAAGTATAAGAACGAGGTGACATTTCATATGCTCATGTTCATGAATGCTTGGATGATGCTTGTGCTCATGAAATATAAATACCAAATGCAATGCTTAACACTGGGATACTACAGATCCAACCTATAAATATAATTACTTCACCCTACTACTTTCACCTCAACCATTTTAACCACCTCCACATATAGCCTTCCCCTTCCACCTCTTCTCCACCCAAAGTTTAGGGCTTGCTGAGTACTTTATGTACTCCAATGTCCAATCCCCTCCATTCTATGTTTTTAGGAGTAAAGCTACATGAGCATATACCAAGATGGAACTCTTGGAGCTACGCAAGGATAGGATAATAGGAGAACACCCGGAGATGGAGCCGTGCGACTACATAGAAGGAACTACGCTAGGATTGCGATCATTAGGATATAGGAGTACGCTGAAGGAATAAGTCTAGGGTTACGTCCGCACTCCAAGTTACTTGTAGAAATGGAGCCACGATGACATAGGACTACTGTCTTAGAACTCTGATATACGATATAAGGCCAATGGCCCAAGTTATGTAAACCCAAACCATATAATATGTTTTCCAATTAGCAATAAAAGTATGGTTTTTTATATCAATCTTGTTCGAATTGTGCGTATCAGCTACTGATCCAGGGACTGATACATGATGCACAGAGGACCCTAAATTAGGGGCCTGACACAAGGGATAGAGGGGGCGAAGGAGCGGCATGGCTGGGGTCGAAGGGGGCTGAGGAGATCCATGGCTATGGCAGAGGGACGAGGAGCTCAGGGATAGATGGGTGGAGGAGCGCCATGGCCAGATCCGTGCGTGAGAATACGACGACGATGACAGCGGTGCGGGAGAGAAGGAAAGAAAGAAAAAATATATATCCTAGCAAGTAGGCCCCATGTATTGGGGGAAATTATTGGGCTTCTGCTGCAACATCTCTCCCAATAATAAAAAAGTAACATTGGGCTATCTCCATTATCACTGTATTGGGGGAGTTGTCTTAGGGAGCTGCTGGAGATGCTCTAACTCACAATACTGGCCTAACTACTAAAGAAGTAGACTACTATCTTCTTCTCGCTTCCTCGGATGATCTTCTATGATATATTGATATTATTTGCAAAGTGGCATCAAAACCCCGATTTATAGTGTATATGAGTAGGGGGTATTCGTAGCTTTGGTCGGAGAGACGGTGGTGTGTTGACGTTCCCTAAACCCCATTTTCGACAATCATTATCTCTAAAAAAGAGTGATGGACATTGTATCATCATGTCATTTTTTTCATGTAGAGTCTTGTTTGCGTTTATCTATTCCCTAGATATTTATCATGCCAAATATCCAGATTAAAGTATTCTATTGTTTAAAGTACGACAATTATGTCTTATGCATACTCCATTTATTTGGAAAGTTTTTCATGTAGAAATTTCTTATTCCATAAGATAGTAGGAAGGTAAATGGGTTAGACACCCCTAACATTTTCTACTATGAGAATGCTTCTTTCCTCTTTATAAAATATTGTTTTTTCTACTTTAGAAGTTGTTTCTAACCCTGATAAAATATTTTACTACAAAGGGGTAAGTAAAAAAATTCTACCCGTAGAAAGAAAGCCATTTGTTCCATAAAGGACTACTAGTGTAATGTAAGAGTGGCAACATTACTAGTTTATTATGCATTATTATTATTATTTGTACAATACTTTTTTTGAATGCATAATTGTTATTATGGTCAAACTACTATTCCTATCCTGTCATGTCAAGCCTTCTTTTGCGCTTGCCCCATAACGATGTCTATCTTTTTTTAACTTGTGTACCTTTGTTTTCGATTGGAGTTTTTCTATGGACTTAACGCCACTATGTGCCTCTATTTTCTTTGTGGCTTGCGGATAATAAACACTCGCTTAGCTGAATTTGTTTAAGGTTGATAAAGTGTGACTATTATAACACATGAAATTATTTTGCAACCTAATCTTTAACCCTATTGCAGCATAAAAATCCTTAGAAAGTAAATTATAGAATGGAAAGAGAGTGCTAGGAAGACTTAATTTTTTACGAGATATTGAAGTGTTAGTACTCTTTATTAGTTATTGTTGGAGCATGGAAATATGAGTCCATACCATTTTTTTTATTGATGATAGCAATGTTTCTAGTTCATGGGAACTATTATTCTAGGTTTATAGCACAAAAATATTTAATATTCACTTGGGAAATTGTTACAAAGATAAAATTGTTTTTATTTTAGAAAAATGTTGTTATAGCTTCTTGGTTTGTGAAATTGGTATAGGTAAGAGAATAGATATGAAATCGACAAGAATAAAAAATTAAGAGGGAGAGAAAGAAAAATTAAAAACAGAAATTTTCAAAGAAGCTGTGGAAGAAAACCGGCCCACAAGAAAGCCCGCCCGTGCATCCTTTTTTTTTTCTCGCCGTCGATGACCTGCATGCATTCCCCTTCCGTCCGCTGCATTTCTCTTCCCTCCTCGTTCTGTCTCTCTCTCTCTCTCCTTCTCGCTCTCAGACGACTGGTGGGCCGCCGCCGCCCTAAGCCAGGTGCAGGTGCTGAGGCTTTCGTTGGTCTCTTCGCCGGCGACGAGCACCCACCAGGTACTCCCACCCCTTCTCTTCCCTTCCCTTATGATGTGCGAAGCTGAGCACCGAAACCCTAACCTAAAGCTATTTAGCTATTTGATTTGACAAGCCTCCTAACTTCGAAGTTTTCGCAAAAATTATTGGGTGTACATGTGTACACCCATGTCCCTTTACTGGATCCGCCCCTGATTGGAGCAAGTTCATCTGTCTTGTAGTTGTACCTCTTCTAAAGCTTGGATGTGATACAGTGTTTGTTAGGAATTGCTTGGTACCTTCCAATATGAAACCCTTGCCTTCTGGTCTCTAATTTTAGGTAGAAGAATTGTTTCTCTTTTAATATTTTGGAAAAGCCAGCCTGTATTCTACCTAACATGTTTTCTCTAAGGCTGCTATGCGATCTTTTTGTTAGTCACAGTCTATTGGTTAGAGTCATAGAGATCCTTAGAAGCATTGCAAACCATTTTCTGAGTTTTGGTCTTCCCTTTCAAGAGTGGACAACCAGACCATAGTCGATATGCCTCAAGCACTACCTGTATCTTATATTGTTTGTGTAATGTGTATGAGTTTTTTCATGCCTTCTTAAACTGTATGGCCTTAGAAATCTTAAACTTTCTGGGCTATTCAGGTGCATGTACATCTAAGAACATTCATTTTTATTTTTTAAAAACCATAATATTTTAGTCAGATTAGATTATATGTTTATAGCATTTGTTTAATGGCAACATATCATGTGCAAACCAACCACCTGTGCAAACTTGAAAACTATCAATCAGGACCACTGGATGTTGATCCAATGGATGGGGTTAGTGGTCCTGATTGGTAGTTTCCAAGTTTGCACAGGTTAGTTGGTTTGCACCTGATACATTGCCTTGTTTAATTGTTTAATAATTTAGAACATCTTTTTGTCAAGCTGATGTCCAGTCACATTTTGCAGGTTCAGTGATGAGTGGGCTTCTCATGAGCTTCCCTAAGTGATGCTTCATATGTTTTCTAACATGTAACATCTCCCGATGTTATCCATGTACTGGATATATCCTTAGAAGTCAGAGATGCAGAAGTCTGATCATCATGAGCAAAAGCTAACTTCACCAAGAGGGTTAATCCATAAGATACTTCGTCGTACAAATAGCAGGCGTTCTCCCACTGCAGCTGATCAACAACCTTCTCCTGTATCTCCAGAAACAAGCAACTCATCAATATTCTCAAAGCAAAAGGATGCTGATGATGCCATCAAGGATTCAGAAAAGCCGAGCACACATACTATCAGAATTGAAGATGAGAAATCTGATTTGCTAGGGTATGAAGTTTATTCTGGGAAGCTTACATTAGATAACAAAGCAAAAAATTCATCGAGTGAACAGTCTGGATCAGGGTCTAGTAGCAATTGCTTTGATGCCAGGCTCAGCACTGAAGCCCTTATATGGGGTTCTAACATCCTTAAGCTTGAGGATATTGTATCTGTAAGTTATCTCATTGACTTGCAAAACTCACATCTATATTTTTCAGTTCTACTGTGTGTCCACAACATTTGGAATCAATTTAATATCAAATGACCATGCAGGTATCATATAATTCTGGTCTCCGGCATTTCACCGTGCATGCGTGTCCTCTTGAAAAAAGATCCAGTGGACTCTCCTGCTTTATGAAGCCTAGAAGAACCCAAAAGGACTTGAAGTTCGTATCCACTTCTCCGCACGAGGCCTTTCGGTGGGTTAATAGTTTTGCGGACCAGCAATGCTACACAAACCTGTTGCCTCACCCCATGGCATCTAGCAAGAAGCATTCTTCTGAACTCATTCAGTTTGATGCCATGTTTGATCCTTATGTTAAATGTCGGTCTCCACCAAAGATACTTGTCATCTTGAACCCTCGATCTGGACATGGTAGATCTAGCAAAGTTTTTCATGGAAAAGTGGAACCCATATTTAAGGTATGTCTAGCTGAGTAAAAGCATGCATCTTATCTCAATATTGGATCTGTGCTGTTGCTTCTGCTAGGAAGATTAACGAAGAGAATCTAGTCAACTTATAGTCATGCTTCCCAAGATCATATTTAGTCAGGTGTTTTATACAAAGACGAATGTTAGGGCAATCTTCATTCAATTAAACTTCATGCTATGCTTGTGTTACATGTTTTGTGATTGTATTAAGATATCTGTTTTAACTGAAAAAACAACGAATTACAAAGTTCCCAGTCATACCAACATTATCTAGTCAAATAGAAACGTTGACAGTGTATATTTATGGATAGGTAGGTGAAGAATTATGTATAATTCATTGGTCCAGCCTGCTTAGAGCATTTAGTGTGTATTCTTATAATAGACAATCTCAATTTTATGGTTTCATACTTTAATTATCTCACTGGGATATTCTTTATGTTAAATTCGAGCTGGGACTTCTGCTGTGCTTTAGAAGCATCAGCATGCATCTAGTGGCTGTCAAAGAACCATGTTATCCATATCTTACCAGGACTCATTATAAAAAGTTCTCTGGCTAAGTCATGTGTAGTTGGCAAGGCATCTAGTTGTTATTGTTCATATATTTTGGGAAAATGGTAATTGAAACTTTGGGAAGCTGCTCCTTGCTCCTAATTATAGTTTTGGTCCAAGATTCTATTGGAAATGCAACCCTAGTAGACTAACTTGTTGAGAAAGCATGGTGTCTAAATGAATCATGACTTTGATGCCATTATGTAGATGTCTGATTCAACTCTGCTCAGCCCTTGACCCCTTGTTATATGTTCAGATAGTTTCGTCTCTGCTGCCTTACTGTCGTTTTCTTGCTTCATGATCGTGCCTTTTAGGACTATTCTTGACCTGTGGTGGCAGTCATAGAATGCTGAAGTTATTAACCTTTTTTATATACAAAGAAATATATGTCATCATACTTTTATTGTTAATGCATTCTGTGTTTTTTCAGTATCTCAGGAACTTTGGTATGGTTTAATAATAAGTGCTAGCCACAGCTTGCAGGTTTCAAGATGGAAGTGGTAAAAACTACACATGCTGGTCATGCAAAGTCCCTTGTATCAACTATTGATTTTAGTACCTGTCCTGATGGTATATACAATTTCACATCTTAGATTAGTGTTTTACATTCATCATCTGCCTCACTTTTTGCCTGTATTTGCTAGGTATTGTATGTGTGGGTGGTGATGGAATTGTAAACGAGGTTAGTACTTATTAGTTTCATCCATGCATATATTCCTTTTTGCTGATTTCGAGGTGTCTTTTCTTGCTACAGCGTTTTTAAACCTGCTAGAGAAAAGGTGATTGTAATGACAGGCTTATCAACCCCATTTCTGACATCCACACCTTGTGTGGCTTTCGCCATCAATAAACCAGAACAATTATCTAATTGGCCTAGTAACTCCTCAACTTGACCTACTCTTTCGGGAACTACTTGCTCGCAATCTTATCTTCTAGGGTCTTGTCTGAACAGAGGTTATCAACATGTCTCAAGTTTAGTAATTGTGGGGTGATTGACTTGCATTGGGTTCTTAAACTGAGTCACACTAGCATATGATACCTCTTGGCCTGAACACTAACCTGGTCAACCCTTTTTCATGAAGCAAAGACCCGAGTGTAAGCAGGTCACTGTGTGTTACCCACGTGGGTCCTTGAGTGCATGTAACATGTAACATGTTAGTGTTTTCCTTCAGGGGATCTTATGTAGGAGCACACAAGAAATTCTGTACATCATATATGATTTTTCCCATGCCAAGTTTTTAGATTTTTTTAATCCATAGGAATTCTAAATCGTGTTCAGATGTATTACTCACCGTGGTTCTAAGTTTTGAGGGACCTATTTGTTTGCTACTACCATACCTCCTGAAACACCATTTAGGTCCTTGTATGTTTGCTAGTTCTCTGAAGCCATCCTTTCCTTGCATGTCACAGAAATAGTAATTTGTATGTCAACTACAGGTTCTGATGTAGTAATCAATCCATTGTGTAGGTTCTCAATGGTCTTCTATGCAGAGATGATCAAAATATGGCTGCCTCTGTTCCAATAGGTATAATACCTGCTGGGTCTGATAACTCACTTATTTGGACAGTCTTGGGTGTCAAGGATCCAATTTCTGCAGCATTGTCAATTGTCAGGGTAAAGAACACTTTGTTTTGTTTCAATTCTACTTCATCTTCTGTGTCTTTGTGCTCCTATTTGGTATTTGCATGTAACTGACAGCTGTGGCTATTCATTTCCCTGCTGTAAAATATTCTATTATGAGCTAGGTTGAAGTGAACTGCATGTTTTGTTTGTGATTAATGGTGATTTTGAATTACGAAGAGATAAGCATATCTAATCTTGGATTTTTTTCCTGCCCCTTTATTCCCACAATTAAAGGGTCAGGGAAAAAAAATCCAAGATTAGATATGCTTATCTCTTCGTAATTCAAAATCACCATTAATCACAAACAAAACATGCAGTTCGCTTCAACCGAGCTCATAATTGAAGGGCGGGCCTGGTGCAAGCGGTAGTGTCTTATCGCCTGTGACCGGAAGGTCTTGGGTTCGAGTTGCGGTCTCCTCGCATTGCACAGGCGAGGGTAAGGCTTGCCACTGACACCCTTCCCCAGACCCCGCACAGAGCAGGAGCTCTCTGCACTGGGTACGCCCTTTTTTTATTCCCACAATTGCCATCCTACAATGTCACTTCGTTGCCCATGCAACCCGAATCTACCCGTCTTCATATCATCTCTCTTTTTCTCAGTATTTGTATGTTGAACAAGCTAACTTCTTTACATGTGCAATCTTCTGCATGTCCATGTACCATCTCTCCTCTACATTCACTTGGCCATGTAATGTTACCCTGCTGTTGACACACTACACATCCATGTTAAATGGTGCATTCCAGTGGCTGTGTATTGCCATTGTGCTGTCAGCACCACCCATGTTTCTCCATACTAGATGCTCACTAATTGGGTTAGCCTGTGATCTTGATGTAGGATAAGTAGCTCAAGTTTTCTTCTGTAGCTCTATCCTTGCTGGCTATGTTGTTTCTCCAGGGCTTTGAGGCATCCTAGAGAGTAGAGTGGGTAAAACATTGTCTCATGTAGGGTTTCAGTCACTCAGTGTCAGAAAGTCCTTTTAACCTTTCTAGTACTGAAACTGCAAATCTGATGTATTCTGAATTGAGTATAAGCCGCCATAACTCCTGTCATAATGTCTACTTGGAGCAACTGTGCTTTTGAAATTATATATTATGTTAGGAAAGGCAAAAAAGGGAAACATACCTACATGAAATATATAGGCTTAGTATAATGCTGCCTGATTGAAGGGCAGGCCTAGTGCAGTGGTGAGAGCTGTCTCACTGAGTCACCAGGTCGTGGGTTCGAAGCAGCCTGTCCGCAGATTTTGCGGGGGGAAGGCTTGCCTCGGTTTTTCCCTTCCCCAGACCCCACTCATGTGGGAGCCTCCGGCACTGGGTCTGCCCTTTTATAATGCTGCCTGATTCATCCAGTCCTCCTTCTCAAGCATGCTTTTTCTTTGTTAATAAGTACCTTAGAAGATTGAAAAAATAGTTGATGAAGCAAGTTTAATTGTTGCAAGTTAAAGCTTTTCAATAGGTGAAAGTATGGTATGTCTATCTGTCTACTGTTTGTACATTTGATTGCATAATTTAATCAATAGATGTTCCTCAGTACTTTTTTAAGTTTTAGCTTGAACAGTTTGATGTGGATATGTGTGGTTCTATGTAAATGTTTATTGAACCACCTGTTGGTTGCAGGGAGGTCTTACACCTATTGATGTTTTTTCTGTTGAATGGATTCAAAGTGGGACTATGCATTATGGCACAACCGTATCATATTTTGGTTTTGTTAGCGATGGTAAATATTCAACACGTCAGACTTTTTATCTGTCCTGGTTCTCTAAAATTAGCCTTTGAGCTAGGCTTAGGTCACTTTTTAGTTTTTCTGCAATTAAAAAAAGTGACGTTCCATCATCTCTTGCAGTTCTTGAGCTCTCAGAGAAATATCAGAAGCATTTTGGTCCTTTACGATACTTTGTAGCTGGTTTTCTCAAATTCCTGTGTTTGCCAAAGTACAGTTTTGAATTGGAATATCTTCCAGTGTCAGATGTCAATGGTGCTGAGCATAAAATTTTGGTAGGACAAGAAAAGGTCGATGCATCTGATCTATATGATGATGTAGTTCAGAGATCAAGAGCAGAATGTTTACCACGCGCCTCAAGTTTATCTAGCATTGATTCAATAATGTCTGGGGCAGAGCTGGAGGTTTGTAGTCCTCATGCAAATAATGAACCTTCTGAGGTTGTTCGTGCACTTGACCCGAAATCAAAGCGCTTATCATTAGGGAGAGGGAGCACATTTAAAGAACCAGAAGAAGTGCTTCATCCCCATTCCCATGGTACATCTACTCCCAACTGGCGTAGATCTAAGTCAAAATCAAGGACTGAAAAGGCAAGGCCAGGCTTGTCTGCTACAAATGATGCAAAATCCTCTAAGGTTAACGCAGACAAAGAGGACACGTCGTCCACAATTTCTGATCCTGGACCTGTGGCTGTATGGGATTCAGGACCAAAGTGGGACGATGGACCTAAATGGGATAATCAACCTAACTGGGAACCTGAGACTTCAATTGAGCTCCATAGTCCTCGTGAGGACATTGAGCTTGGTCTGACTAAGGAGCTGGTACCGAGCTTAGATGAAAGATGGACAGTTAGGAAAGGGCGCTATCTTGGTGTACTGGTGTGCAACCATTCATGCAAGACTGTGCAGAGTCTGAGCTCTCAGGTTGTTGCTCCCAAGGCTGAATATGATGACAATTGTTTGGACCTGCTGTTAGTTGGTGGACGTGGAAGACTGAGATTACTGAGATTTTTGGTGCTTTTGCAGTTTGGAAAGCACATATCTCTTCCAAATGTAGAATATGTAAAGGTATGCTATGGCTGCTTCTCTTTGCCAAGTGTTGAATCTTCCATTACTCTATACATGATAGTGCTGCTTTGATTTTGGCTTGATGCCTTGATGAATGCCATGCTTTCTGTCATGCATGTTCTACTGTCATGGAATTTATTTCCATGGCATTTCATGCGAATGTCACAACCATTGGACATTGCCATGGTTAATGATTTATGTGTTTATCATTCTTTCAGAATTTTTCATGTGAAAGTTTTTTAACTCTTCATTTTATTGCTGTGCTAAATTCAGGTGAAGTCTGTGAGGCTCAAGGCAGGCCCAAATACACACGATGGATGTGGTATTGATGGCGAACTACTCCATGTCAAGGGGCAAGTTCGCTGTAGTTTGTTGCCTCAACAATGCCAATTGATGGGCCGGCCAGTGAAAAACCCTGTACAGTAGCTGTAAATACACTACTGCGGACTGTCTGCAGCTCTGAGATCAGCCCAGAATCTTGCACCTGTACAAGCGGCGAACCGTGGAATTTTGTCCGCATCCACATCAGTAATTATATTCAGAAGTCAGAACAGCCTAGCTGACACTCAGCTCCAGAGATGTACATTTGTGGTTGATGAGCAGAAGGTGCTGGGTGGGTGCTATTTATCCAGATGTATAGCCAAAGCCTATCTCATACAGCAGCTTGTTGCGCACCTCTTGCTTTTGCCTTTTTCTCGTCGGATAGAATACATACAACCATCCTGATGAGTGTACTTGCTCCAGAACCTAGTGTCCACCTCCACCCCCAGTTGTGTTTGGAGGTCCCTGATGCCGGCCACTTGATGTACTCATTACCTCCAATTATAGGGACAACACACCAGTGCTGTGTCCTTTATCAGTTTGTTGTGTTTGCAAAGTGTGAATAAGACTATAGGACTGTTGCATTCCCAGTACAGCGTAGGGTTTCAGCAGAAAGGGATGGACGATATTTTGTGGCGATGCTGCCTCTTTTCTTTGTGATTTGTAAACTGTGATGATGTATGAGCTGTGTACTAATTTGTAAACATTGCCTGCCATACGAGTGTTTCTGAGATGTGGTATTCTCTGCTGGCGAATAAGCAGCGTAGCTTCAGGGAGGCGCTCTCATCCCTCGTTTTGTATGCTGCCAGCAAGCAGTGCTCGTACTAGGAACATGTTTAGCATGAGGCAATTTTTCGGTTGGGGTTGTGAGGAAGATTGTGGCAGATGTTCATGTAGCTGCCCTGGCTGGCGCTGGTTGTGAGCAAGATTGTGGTAGCTGTTCATGTACCTGGCCCGCCTGGAGCCCTAGACCTTGCCTGGCCTGCCCTGATTTGGCTCTCTCAAGCATGCAAGGAAAAACTGGCGTGCACAAGGCCCAAGATAGGCAAGACACTACAAACAAGCAGCATGCTTGATATCCTCGCTCGTTAAGGCTACACAGTGATAATGAGAGAACAGATATTCAGTAAGGGGTGTTTGGTTGCCCCTCCTAGATTTTAGTCGCTGTCCCATCGAATGTTTGATACATGCATGGAGTATTAAATATAGACTAATTAAGAAACTAATTGCATAGTTTGTGACTAATTTTCGAGACGAATCTTTTAAGCCTAATTAGTTCATGGTTTGATAATGTGGTGCTACAGTAAACATGTGCTAATGACGGGTTAATTAGGCTTAAAAAATTCGTCTCGTGTACTGCAGACGGATTATGTAATTTGTTTTTTTATTAGTATCCGAACACCCCATACAACATCCTTCTGATACACCTCCTAAAATTTAGTCACCGGATCCAAACATCCCTTAAGCACCCTCCAGACAGATAAGGACTTTGGCGGACACTGAGCAAGGCGGCCGTTGTCAACTCAGACCTCTCCAGTACTGCTCGTCGTGATGGAAGCGCGGGTTAGTAGCATTCGGTCGCTGCTGCAGAGTTGCCTCTATTTCCTTTGAACTGTTGCTGTGTGAATCAGTGTTCGCTTTGTGGCACTTCATGTAAAATATAAGCTTATTCGCCTTGATATGCTTCATTCTTTACGAAGGATAAACGTTTCGGCTTTTTTACATAATAATATTTGTCATACACTTGAAAACCCATGCTTGGAAGGACCGAGAGAGAGTTATCTTTTTCCATAGGTGTTGGTATATTTATATAGGCAGGAGAACTCTCTCTCAACATCAACTAGCGATATGGTACTAATTAATGTCGCATGATTCACCTCCACTCATGGGCTTTAAAGCCGTCCCTTATTAAAAGCCCATTAGTATTATACTAATGGATTATGTTTTAGCCGGTCAATTTTTTTTGAAGTGTTTGCATTCATAGGGGTTTGTACGCTCAGAGCGTATGTATCTGGTCTAAAAAAATATGCAAATATAGTAGATTCCGTATATCTTTTGAAAAGCTATATGTATTTTGGATGGAGAGAGTATTACGCAGTCATCGCACTAGCAAATAACCGGTGCACGCAATTTTTGCTAAAGAAAAGAACAACTGAATGCGCAGAACAAAACACATTGCGTGCTGTACCACAGCATCAGCAAACAGAGCTATAGATACGATTAGGTCACTGCTATCTGCACACCGTCATGCATGCAGATGCAGGCTTGTTATTCCCACAGCCCACAGGAAGGACATTGCGTCCCCCGGCCGCCGCCCACCGCCCGTCACGGTGGCGCGTGGCGGTCGGTCGGCGAGCTAGCACCTGCAATGGCATCCCTGCACTAGCGCGAGGCGCCCTGGGGACACGCACCGCCAGCCTTGCCGCCCTCCGTAGTGGCACATGTCCCGGCATGCGGCGTTCGCCTCCACCTCGGGCGGCGCGATCCGGCTGCGGTCGCCTTGCTCCACACGGGATGGTCACCTGCACGCACGCAGCGCCGGTAGGTCGAGTCCCCACGCCGCCTCGCCGCCGGAGGGCGCCGCCGCGAGGAGGAGGACCTCTGCATGCAGGGCCGGATCCAACGGTGGGGTGGGGTGGGGCGGGAGCTAGTGGAGCCCCTGGAGCCCCATGGATTTTTAGGTAAAGTTCTATAGTGTAGGTGGGGCTGAGACTTAAGATCGAGCAGCAGTCGGAGGTATGTGTTGTTCAGCCCCCTAAAATTTTTCCTGATCCGCCGCTGTCTGCATGCAAAGCCAGCGCGCGCGGATCAGATACTCGGATCGATCGGATGAGTGAGTGAGTGCATGCATGCATGCCGTGCCACGCGAGATGGCACTGGCGCGCTCTCGCACGACGGGCTGCTTACTGGTGAGCACAGCCACGAGGACGACGTCGACGAGGACGCGCGCCATGCGATCTCTGTTTCTCTGTTCCGGCGCGCTGGGAACCTAGGACGCGAGGCGGCGACAACGATGTCGTCTGAGTTGGTGGCTCTGTGGCATTCGGTGCGCGCTACGAATATAGGGGTGGTGGTCACGGCCAGCGGCGAATCCAGAAAAAATTTTAGAGGATTGAACAACACATACCTCCGACCGCTGAGGATTGGTAAGCGGCGCGGCGAGGGCACGGTGGGGACTGGGGGTGGGGCAAGTACAGGTGACACGACGCGGGTACTGTTCACTATAGCATACTAATTGTATACTAGTAGTACATACAAATATATATGATCCGACTGTCAACTAATTGTATGTAGTATTGATTAATTGGCTGGCTAATTAGGACGCGCGTATCACGGCAGGGCTTTTTTTTTTGCGAGATATATATCACCGATTACTGACTGCTGCTATAAGAATACATACAGAGGCTCTTTTCCTTTACCATGCAAATATGCGTCACGCCACTGCCACCTGAGCTGTTAATAAAAATCAGAACAGCTGGTAAATGACTGAATTTATTATATTTATTAAATGCAAATATGTATATGTATATCTATACTTATATAAATATGTAGTATTTATTAAATGCAAATATGTATATGTGTCACGCCACTGCCACCTGAGCTTATAAAAAGAAAATAATAAATATGTATATCTATATCTATACTTATATAACATTAAAGTGCTAAAATTTCTCTAGGCAATATCCAATTCGATTCCAAGGCATATTGGAGCAGTCCCTCTCCCGTGTTGTACGAGTTAACATGACGTGTCGAAGCACAATACAGAATCTAAATCTAAAACAAACCGATATACGAGTTAGAGCAGTACATATCTAGGTAGTATGGAATTAGATTCGAAGATGCCAAGACGTATCTTATAAACAGAAAATAATAAATATCTATACTTATATAATATTAAAGTGGTAAAATTTCTCTAGGCGATATGGAATTCGAGTCAAAGACATATTGGAGCAGATCCCTCTCCCGTGTTGTACGAGTTAACATGACGTGTCGATAT